TCTAACCCCGAAGGCAACAGATACACAAACAGGTTTTATCTTAAACATAATCATATCGAGAGAGCTTTCAAACGGCTTAAAGACTCCGATTTCGACCTGGTTTCCAGTAGCGGCGGAAAGAGTGGATTAACTGCGGATAGCACGAAAAGCGATGAAGATAAATGGGACCACTTTTCTATTTACGTTTTCGTGCGGCGATAAATTAAAAAAATCTATACGCTTCTGCTCGATAACGACAATTCTTTAAATTAAACAAAGGACCAGACTAGAGTAATTTATATAAGAAGTTTTCCGTACCTCTTTTTCTTTTCTTTAAAATACACTCATTTTGTAAAAGGGAAAAAAAAGGTGCAGTTTCTTTTGAATAAACGATGAAGTTCTAAGTGCGTATAATACTGTTCTGTGCTATACACGTACACATATAATGTTTCAGAGCTGTCAATAAGTTCTTGAAGTAAACAACTAAAATTTCCCGAAGTTATAAATGATGTCTAAGATTAGGGGCTAGATTATCCTGCACACTGAAATTAATTAATTTTCAAAATACTCCTCGAAGCGGTTATAGCCCTAAGGAGATTCACTATAAGCAAAAATTGAAGTCGTGCCTTAATAAAGTCTGCTTGTTAAAATTAAGATTCTGAACTTCTCACCGATCAGCTAAATAGAAAGCGCAATTAATTTGGATCTGTCGTATTACTAATGACGGTCGAGAAATTTTTGTCGAGAAAATCACACACAAGGGCCATTAATGCACCAATACAGCAAACCTTGCCGGTCATTAAAGTGACAAAAAAATCTTTAAAGAATCATTGTCAATTTATTTCGCAAAAACACGGACCAGCTGGTTCAGTAAGCGATTCCTCTTTCAGTATATTATAAAAATTGTCGGGCATTTCATTAAGTTTGAAGTGAACCATCGACCGGTGAGTAATAACTGCAATTGAAACGCGAATACAGTTGGGAAATTGAAATTTAAGTTCCTACCGGTCATTCAATTATCCGGTTACCAAAATAGGGTTTTATGAGCACGCTTAATATGGATAAAAAAAAAAAAATGACAAAGCGTAGCAGCTTGCAATTTATCCAATACTTCTGCCGAATTATAAAGAAACGAGACGCTCGTAATTCATAAGACGGGAGAGAGAGATAAATCGTTATTTTCTGCCAGTGCTGTTTTACTGTTATGATAATTCTCAATGTCTTCATAACATTAGGAGGATAATTTCCTACACTCTACCGCCAATTCCATAAAATTATGTTAATTAGATAAATAAAAGGAGCAGGTGGCGTTTGAGGAGGTAGACAATTCAGTACTGTTTTACATGAGATTCTACAGAAGGACAATGACGGTGTTTTGGAAAACTGATAAACAAGTTTAATACTAGCACAGGCATCTCAAAATTTGGAAGGAAATTTGCCGTAAATAAAGACGAGTTCAGTTTTTTTTTTCTCAACGTTACGAAAATCATATGCGCTCGTGCATTTTATGTGTAAAGGGAGTAAGTTTCTAAAGAAACTGTGATACTGCGTCTGTGGGAAGTACTACATTGTAATAATTGGTTTATAAAAAAAGTTGATGATGCAAATTGGCCACCGTAGAGGGTTTTAAAAGCTGACGGTTCGAACGTTATCCCTTTATCAGAGGGACTGTAGTCATATAGTTAATGAGTTTTTTTTCTAACAAATGTACGATAAACATCAAAGAAGGTTGCTATATTACTTGATGAACACTTGTCAATATCACAGGAAGCGGTGGCGTAGATTAGTGAAATCCAAAATGCACAAGAGTAAATTCAAACTGTCCCTACTTAAATAGCTGTCTCATTTCCTCGAACGAATAAGATGTTTGTGATAACGGTGGTTTTCGCTATGCTCTTTGTTACGGATACTGTAATAAATTGCTGCTTTTCGTATAATGTTTTATATTTCTTATCAAGACTACAAGCCTTCGTTTCTTCCCCTAGTTCTCGCAGATCGTACGAATCAGCTGTTCCATGCTTGACACAAGTCGGGTGTTGGGATCCGCCGGAGCAAACATTAGCAACAGGTTGCGCTAAAGTCTATTTGCCATTGAAGCAATCTTGTGTTCTTAAACCGTTTACAGGTTTTCAACTCAGTTGCGTTGCTCTCCGTGTTAGATGATTCGTTTATTGACATTCGTTTGGTGAATATCTACGATATTTCCTGAAAATGACGAAATGTTAATTAATACTCTAACTATCAAGACCTGAAGCGTAATTCGCCCTTTTGACTATTGTTCGATTTCAAGCAAGACGACCAAATTTCTTTCGTTCTTCGTGAACCAGGTTTACCTTGGTTAGGTGCATCCTCTGTTTAGTCTAATTCACCAGCTAAATATTTCTCCCATTCATCAAGCCGCTCTTCCTTTTGTTTTTCCGTTTCCTCCACTTTGAAGTTTGTCTTTCCATCCCATTTTTCAGCCGTTATTCTCCGGCCGGCGAACCAGCGACCATTCATCACCTAGTACAAGCAGAAACGACAGATAATAAGAATTAAGTAGAACTGAAAATGAACCAATCAGATATCAAAGTATTCAAGTTGAGGTAGAAAAAGCGAGAAAATACATCAACTCCAGAGCCTTTCGAGTACCAAGAGAGACCCAAGGGGAAAGACCTAGGGTGAAAAAAAAGCCACAAAATAATCTTAAAGGAACCTACAGGCAAACAAGTCTCAGCTCCTTCAAATGTTGCAAACGCCACTGAACAAACTCCTTCCTTGTTACGCTGTGCAGACATAAACAGCAGAATTACTGGTTAGAATAAATTCTCAAATAACCTTATGAACTACAAAGCTTTGCATATGCTGGAGATTCAGTTACAAAATAAATATTCTACTGCAGCTTTAATTCCTAACAGTCCGTACTTTATCACCTCGAGTCACATATTTACATGTGCGCATTATTCAGTGACTGCAATATTAGCAACTTAAATCGATAAAAGAGAGCTTGACACAAACTTCTATAACAACTATTGGAAGACACATAAACCTAATAATATTACAATATTAATTATTATTACAACATAACAAGTATAATTTTACAAAGTTATAGCTTTCCTGAGAAATTCCAACCAGAAACTGGATTACCGGTAACATCAATTTAAAAATGTGTTTGTAAACTTTACACCTTGTTCCAAGGTGAGAAACACTCACATCAAACACGATCACCTTCCTCACTTCACCAAACTTTTCACATTCTGCTTTCATGTCATCGCGCAACTCTGTGATCAAAAGAGGATTTTTCTACAAAGAGAGAAAACAGAAGAAGTTATTATAAAGTTAGTACGGTTATTAAATCTGAATCAAACAAATAAAAGGAAAACAAATTGGAAATAAAAGGCACAATTTTATGCATGAGGCTGTCTAAATGCGATAAGATTCAATTTATAAACTATTTCAGAGACTTCAGTTCCAGCTAAAACAAGAAAAACTCTTGATTCATGTTTTGCATAAATGCATCAATCAACTTAAAATGTCAACATCCCCCTTCAGTTGAGGCCCTTGGTCTTGAAACCTTTAAACATTAGCTTATGCGATTTCTGTACATGCATCACAGTTCCCCTTATACGATGTATCACAGTAAATGCTCCCTCAAGATTCTATTCCTCATTTTTTTTAACCTGTCATGCTCTAATTTCTTTCCCACATTGTGTTCTGCATGTAAAATTTGAGTAACTTTTGGCAGAAAAGACTAAAGAAAATTAACAACAAACCTCAAAGTCTTTAGCATCAAACATATTCTTGAAAACAATGATCCTTTCATTTTTTTTCCTCTCATCTCTCTCCACCCAATCCAGTAATCTGAAAAAAAACATTTTCCTGATATAAGAACATTGTAATGTAAAATCATATCTTTATGAGCCCCAAAATGATACGATGACATACAGAAATGGAGAAAACCAAATTTACTTTTCCTGTCCTTTTCCAGCTTTCTTCTTTTTATTCTTTTTCTTTTTCTTGAGAGCTGGATTGTAATCACCTTTCAGATGAAATGTAGCCTGAAACAACCAAAGGAAGGGACAAAAAAGTTAAGACTGCAATACTCTAGCAACCAATGAGAAACATCTTCCTGGTTATATCACTAACTTTCAATTAGCAATCTGCTACATCTGATCTCTGACCTTTGGTGTCCCTTTGCCTTTCTAAGTGTCTATCCCACCACCTTCCCTTAAAGTTTCTAACCAAATGACCACCCTCATCATTTAAACCTCCCCCCCCCTTTCACCCCTCTGCTTTCCCTTTTTCTCTACTCCTCTTACTACCCTTGTACATGTGTGTATTTTCTCAGGTTATACCCCTGTAGCAAGTCAAATGATTAGCAAGGTGGAAATTCAGAGCAAATTCCAAGTAAAAACCGAATAAAGCATATAACAAGCAGACATACCTGTTCAACATGTATAGTATGTCCTTTGTAGTCAGATTCATCCAAGAGTTCTATTGCAAGATCAACACTTTCACGCTGAGGGAAAAAAAAAAAAGACAGAGGATTAGATATCAAAGTATATCAATGAGTGAGATATATGGCTAATACACAATACAGGAAACAGAATGAAAACTTATTAGTCCCAAGCAGAAAATTATCTTGTTCAGGTGCTAAATAATCTCCATCACAGCTACTGAAAAAAGTGGCTGCAAACGAGAATTAGGGTCTCAACCTTCAGCAAAACAAAAAAAACAAAAAAAAACAAGCACACTCCCTAACTTCAAGAAGTTTTCCAATTATTCGAAAGCTACATTAAACAAAATGATTTTTTTCTAAATAGTGAAATGTAATTATTCCTATAACAATTATAAAACACATGTACCTTCAAATAGCAGCACCTCCCATCTCCTTTAATTTGACCATTTTGGTCTCTGTAGAGCTTTACTTTAGGCTTGTCTGAAAACATGATTAAAGTATTGATGTTATACATGCAATTGTTAAGTGCTATACAAGTGTGGGAAGTTGTTAGCATTTATAATTCATTTTCAACTGCAAAGTCTTGTATATTCGTACTGAGAGGCTTTTCACAGTACCTCATCATAGTTACAAGCAACCAGTTATACTCTGACAGTACATGTCACAATTTCAGTTTCTACCAAACACTTATGAATCAGACTTACTTGTCTCAGGATCTTGCATGATGATGCCATACTTGCTCATCATTTCAATAAATTCTTCTTCAGTGGTATCCTGCGGTAGTCCTAAACACAAAGGATTCAAACTTACAAGCACATTACAAGACAAAAAAAAATTGATGTTAAATACCACATTTACTTTCGACCTTTGGAATATTCATTTTTAAATGCATATTACTTACTAATAGAAACTGGAGTTAACCACTGCATTGAATTGTAGACATTTTTTTGGGCAAGTCTGACTCAATATAAATTGAAGATTTTCAGCTGTGCCAATGGTATACTGGTAAAAATAACCCAGTGCTTTCGATAAGATTTGAAGAAGTTGGTTAAGTCAGTGTAGCACTTGCCAGAGAATTTCCTTCTTGTTATCTCATTACTTCCATTTATAAAAAATGGCTTCAAGCAGAGATTTTGGTGTTAAACTACCCTAGTTGATCATTAAATATCCATCTCTTTTATAACAATTGTTCACCTGATTGTTCTATTTCTGATCAAAATCTTTCATTTGCTGACATGTAAGCCTACTCCCTGGGTTTCACACAAAAAGTCCTCTGAAAGGACATATGGTTACTGGTTACCAAGATTTTAATGAGTATGTTTTTGGAAACTCAAAATCATTTTTTGCTGGAAATGTATAAAATGTATGTTGGAATATTATGATAAGAAAATATCAGTCATTTTCATCAAAACTTCTTTGTAAAGGTAACAGTTAGCTGAAAGAACTCTAGAGGATCTCAAAGCGTTTTTAAAATTCAATTCATGAGTTTGCTTGAAAGCTTCCAAAGTAAACCTGGCATTTTACAGCAGAATACCTGCCAGAGCTCCAGAGAGTGCCAGGTCTTATTGAAAGCAACAGTCTGATAACCAGCATAAATCTCGTATCCTATGATAACGGTGAATGAACAATGAAATACATTTAACTATGCTTAACAACACGTATATGTAACCTGAAATATTTGCAAACTCACCTGACACATAGACATTCGGATTTTTGCTGCCCTCAACTTCAAACCAACCTGAAAGTGTGAAAGGAAGATAAGTGTATATGATCTAGAAAGAGAGGTTTGAGTTTAAGCAAAGACTGAAGCAACCAGAATTAATCAAAGAGATTTACAATTTCTTTGCATATTAACTTTAATCAGTAAATCAAATAAAAACATATTTAAAAACAAAGCTTTCTACCTTCATCTGCTTTCCTTTTCTTTTTCTTTGATTCTGATCCCTGATCATCTTCTATCTCTCTCTTTTGATCCTTGTATACAAAAAATGGTGATTTTTCATTACATCCCTCTTCTTATCTCAGTGATGGAAAATTGGTGTTGTTGATTTATGGGAGAGGAGAGCTTGTAGATAGTCAGTCAGTTAGTCAGACTGACAAACAAAAAGACAGATAGACAGACAGACAGGTAGACAAATGGAAAAACAGCTACCTAGTATATGAATGAGCTAATAAATTTTAAAATCAAAGGCTCCCTAACAGAACTACACGTAGAGCAATGAATCAGTCATTACAAAATAAAACTATTCATTAATTATAATGGTGAACAAATATATCAACTGCTATCACCTATAAAACTGAGGAAAGCACATCACCTTTGGGTATTGAAGCAAAAAGTGAATACACATGTACAAAAATGTAAATAGCACAGCATGTTTTATTTGTACCTGGCTTTGTACAGTCTGTGGTACATGTGGGCCAGCTGTCTGACTGTCACTACTCACTGTTACAGCTTGTTCACCATCAGGCGTGAAACCATAGTTCATTTGATATGAAGCAAGGAAATCTTCATCCACCTGGAATTAGATCGTTAATAGTGTTAGGAAAAATAAGAACTTTACATCAAATGAAAAACCTCATGTCCACAAGTTCCACTCACAAGGTATCAGATGAACACTAAAAGCCTTGCTTTGGCCACTTCTCCAAAACTGGTAACTTGATTCACGTATTATCATTAATTTGAATTTCAGCTTTCATTTAGCATAATCCAAACTCAACTAAAAGAATTTCATATCAAATCCCCATGGAGAATGATTTGGATTTGGGATAAAAAGAGATACAGCAAGATTTCCGAACAGCCCTCCACTTCATTATGCATACAGTTCTTTTATAAAGAAAACAATGACACCGGGACTACGGTTTTATAGGAATGATACCTGGCTGTATGGAAATCTCTCAAAAGATAATGAACAATTAAGCTCAATAACGAAAGAAGGTCCTTGAATACCGATAACTATTCCACTTTTGGCGAAAAACAGGAATCAAACTTAAAGGATAGTTAAGGAATGCAATCAACATTCAACAGTATTAATACCTTAGGAAACCATCCTCGTTTTTCAGAGTCCCATTCATAAACTGTTCCATCTGTTGGATCAACGTACGTTTGACGTTCCTCTGCAACTTCAGGAACACTGCTCTTAGCCTTCTCTTTGAGCTCTTGGAGAAATTCCTTGGAACTGGAACTATTCATTATGATGTACTTTGGGATTTTATGCCAAAGGCTATAAAATTTTAAAAAGGCCACAGTGTATAAATAATTATTTTGCAAGCCAAGTGTCGAAATACGACTTAGTGTTTGTGAAGCTGCAGAGTTATTGTTATGTCTGCTGCACTGAATTGTCTGCAACATACTCGACTAAGAGGCCTGGTAGCAAAGCTGGCAATGTAACGGACTTCCTTCGTACTTCCGAACAACTTCCGAACAAGCGCCCGAGCGGAGTGTAAGGGTATTCAGCGGACACCCATCTAGAGCTAAATAACCTGTGTAAGTGTCATAAAAAAGACAGGAAATTTTCCACTAGCATACATGATTTCCAAAATGACAAATGAAATGTTTCCCGCTCAGTAAATGTTAGTCAGCTTTCTCACGGGTACCCGTTTATGACATATGTTATGTAAAACCCCATGTTAACCTGCTTTATCCACAACTGAGAATACTACTATGCGATTTCGGTAAAATTTTGCAGGAAGGTCCACGCGGAGTGACATGGTTTATGTCTGTTAGATTATGAAAAAAAAAAAAAAAAAAAAGATAACGAACTCGAGAGAATTTGACAATTATTGTATAGAGAACAAAAGACATGTATGAATGTATTTTGGATGGCATGTTTTATGCGCGAGATAGGAAATGCGTCATGTTCCTTTCTTGTCATGTTCCTTTCTTGTCATGTTCCTTTTGTATAAAGGTAGCTTTAAATTGTCGCCCCAAGTAATTAAGCTTGAACAATAGGAGTTAGTGTCAAAATATTACTATCGTCGTCTCCCTTTTTTTCTCCCAATGAACGTGGCTGGAGTTTTAAAAATAAGATCCGCAATTTGAATCAACACCTTTCGCTATTTACAACCTTTACGGTCCCTTTTATTGGGGAAATAATCTCACCGATTGATGTAAGCACCAGCTTCCTTTTGGTAAGGACCAAAAAGACCGTGGACTCAATTGATATCTTCCACATTTAGCTGCAATGCTAAAAGAGAAAACTCCTAATACTCGCCGTGAAACTCGAGAAAAACCCTCGCTAAGTTAACATGTAGATTTAGCTCTGACAGTCTTAAGTCTTCTCTTAGCATTAATTTTAAACCAGCATCAAACAATCCCAGTGCATGGAGCTCAGAAAACGTTTTCATCAGTAATCGCATCGCACAAGGGAGACCACCTGTTTTTGTAATGACCGCTCAGCGCCATCAAGAGTTTTCGACCAATGTTCCACTGAAGACTCTAGAATTATTTCCGAAAAAAGAGACAGTATTGCACCCTTTTATTTGTTAAAGAGTTTGATAATAATCGAATCAGAGACCAAAGTAACTTGGCATTGTGACAAGGTGTATTTGTTTTTGTTTTTCCTTTTCAAATGCCTTTATGTGAGATTATAATTATTCAATTATTAAACATATTGAAAAAAGGGTTAAATTGACTGGGAAAATGTAGAAAATGATGTTAAGAAGCTAAATTACTCTTGTGATGTACTTTTAATAATACAACAAAACGTAGGGGAGCAAAAATAGTGGACAATAAATCTTAAATAAA